GCAATTCCCAGGCAGGAGGGCTTGTTCTGTTAGGTGCTGAGTGCCCTTGACTCGCTTGTGTGCTACATAATATGCATATACGTATGTATGTATATACACACACAGGCACATAGAGGTGAAGTGTATGGGAGGTAGCATATTCTTAAGAAAGAATGGAAAAATCCATTTGATTGTTAAACCTCTTCTGATCTGAGTAAAAGCATTCATGTGATACAAGGATGTAAGAGAAGGTTTGCAGGAGAGAGGATGTATTTTCTTCTTTGTACCAGCTGGTACCACTGGAGAAAGTTGGCCTAGTGTGTGAACCAGCTTATTTGCTTCCATTTATACCCCTGGTTTAACAAAAGGCCTCTGCCAGCAATTAGTAAAGGTAAGGGGTTGAGAACAGTTTCTTGCAGCTGTTCTCGAACTCTTCTGTAAATGTTACTGACAAACGTTCACTTGCTCCTTGCCCTTTATGGACACTGTAAATATAGGCTATAAGGCTGTGGTTGAAAACATGAAATGTAACATTTGAAGATAAACGGTTTCTTGTCCTCTTCTGTTTTAGGAGGGAGATGTCTGGCCGAATTCTACAGCTGAAATTAATGTGATCTTTAAACCTCGAGAGGCCAGAGTCTATCAACAAACTGTCTACTGTAACATCTCAGGTACAACTCCCTCCTCCCTCTCTTCTTATCTGCTGTGATCAGGAGGCACAAAAAGAGTCTTCTAGCCCACTCAGTTCTTGTGTGATTGCCAGGAAGTGCCAGTGGTTAGCAGGGCTGTGCTGGCACACGTCTGCTGTACCTGTAATTTCCAGGTAGTCTCCTATCCAAGGCACCAGGGCCCAGGATGCTTGGTTTCCAAGCTTGTCATTGACCCCAGAACAGCTAAGGCAGTGAAGAGGTGAATTTTGATGCCATGGGTTTGCCAGCTTTTGTTTTGCTGTGTGTGTAAAGAACAAAGAACCACCCAGCAGAATGGCTTTAGCAGAACGCACTAAACCTCTACAGACCGTTTACATCAAAGATGAGTCTTTATTATGGGGATATATAATCAGATTCCTGAGGCAGTAGAAGCAGAGAGTTGCAGACGTGCTCTCTGACTCTCAATCACCTCCCGCTACCCAGGCGCTGCCTGGCCTAAGGTGGCTGAGCATTGCTGAGCCCCCACCTCCTGCCAGCACAGTGCTTCTCTCCCTGCACGGGAGTTGTCACCTTGTAACTCCAGGTCTATGGCGCATCCACGTAACCATGCATAGAGCTTGCTGTACTCAGCAGAGTGAAAACCATCCCTGGAAACTGTAGTCCAAGCAGTCTGTGCTAGGCAAGCTTTATGCTCGTCCTGTCTGACAGAAGTGCTGTCACAACTTTTGCTGGGAGCAATTATTCACTCACCCAAAAGTATTGCCTTTGCCCTTTTGGAGGTGATTGTTTTGCTGTGCTGGCATGGGGCAGGGAATGCTTGCACCAGGCTGTGCGGTTTGTGTTACCATGCCCTTCCGCTCGGGCTCCAGCATGATGCTTTTTAAGGTATTTTCTGAGAGTGCGAGTTCACCAGCAGACATCTGTCCAGGGAACGCTGTGGGTTTCGCTATGTTCCTCCATATCTAATAGGAAGATATGCGAGGCCCATGGTCCTCTAGCATCCAGGCTCCTGTTTTGCAGGGTGGTGGAATCACTAGCATGGCTGCTTTGTTGCCTTCCTTAGTGCTCCAAGCTGACAGATACAAATGTCAGGAAACAGCTTTTTATTTATACAGTAATTGCATAGGGTTTACTTGGCAAATGTCACCTACGGTAATTACACAGGGCTTGTGTTAACAAACTGTCTTCCTGCCCACCAGCTGCAGTTGTTAGAGCTGGGGAATGAAAGGCTGTATTTGGAAAGAGATGTTCCCAAGGGATTCTTCCCTCAGTGCTGTTGTGCTCCTGAGTCTGAGATTCTTTTTCTGGTGATGGGAGCGTCCATCAGTTTGCTACAAGGGTAGCAACCCAGAGGTTGTGCTAGGAGGACTTTGTGTTGCAGAGAAACTGGAAGGTACCTTGCATGCAAGTCTTGAGCCAGTCTGGGAGCTATGGGGACAGAACTGAGCGAACAATCGGCACTTGGTAAGAGGAGGCTGCTCTTTAAGGCCCCAGACTGGCCCTCGGGAGAACTTAGCTCTGTTCCATGCTTTTCCACTGGCTCCTTGGACGACCTCAAGGAGGTCATTTAAATTGTGAGGCTACCCTCTGTCCCTTATAAAATAGAGCTGATCCTCTGTATGAACAGGATGGAGACATCCTCCCATGATTTGGGAGGAATACAGGGACGTTGTCAGAGTGTGCAGGGATGCGACAAGGAAGGCTAAGGCCCAGTTGGAATTAAATCTGGCAAGGGATGTCAAGGACAACAAGAAGGCCTTCTTCAGATACATCAATAGCAAAAGGAAGACTAGGGAAAACATGGGCCCGCTACTGAATGGGGCGGGTGCCCTGGTGACGAAGGCTACAGAGAAGGCAGAGTTATTGAATGCTGCCTTTGCTTCAGTCTTCACTGCTAAGGCCAGTCCTGAGGAATTCCAGACCTTGGAGACAAGAGAGGAAGGCTGGAGAAAGGAAGACTCTCCCTTGGTGGAGGAGGATCAGGTTAGAGATCTTTTGTCCAAACTTGACATCCACAAATCCATGGGCCCCGATGGGATGCACCCACGAGTGCTGAGGGAGCTGGCGGATGTTATCGCTAGGCCACTCTCCATCATCTTGGAAAGGTCATGGCAATCAGGAGAGGTGCCTGAGGACTGGAAGAAAGCCAATGTCACCCCAGTCTTCAAAAAGGGCAAGAAGGAGGAGCCAGG